ACATCATTAGACAAATTGAAATCTAAATTTGGCGAGCTCGATGATGTACTTTCCTAGCACTTCGGCAGTTGCATTTGCAGAGTATCACAAAACAATAAATCCAGTTTCCATTGCATCCGTATCTGCCGCATACGTTCTGCCATTCTTCTTCCATCCATTGATGTGCTGATATTACATCCTCATCGTCGGGTTAAGCTGGCCCTGAGCTGATGCTACGAAGGCCGGTCGGATTGACGAATAGGGATAATGCATAGAGAAGGAATAATGCATAAGGCTTCGGGCTTATTGCTAGATAGAAAATAGCTTGGACGGACGATGGATTTTCTGCCCAAAAAACGCTACAACAACACAAAAAGAAATTACACTATACACATCAAAGAACACATTGGATGGTCCTTGAGACTCCATTAATGGTGTCTCATCGTGTCGATGATGCATTATAGTGTTCCTTCTCGAGCGCGAAGATAGTTCGACATGATTTTTAGAATCGAACATTAAAATACGAAATCCGATGATCAGATTTGTTGTCAAATCTATGATTGCAGGTTAGATTTCTTCTCCTCATCTTTCCTTCGACTGCCCATTGGTTTTCTTCGGTAGGTTGTGGACTGATATCGAATAGCGCATTGTAGTATCGCATAACGTATTGTATCTTAACAGCAGACGAATAGACGAATAGTACAGCCTTACGACGAGATGAATAATAGTAGTACAGTCCCATATTTCAGCACATTTGTCGATTGCCATGCATGTTGATGTTTCAATGGCGACCATACATCTGCTTTCCATTCCAAACCTGCAAATAAATATTGCGGCATTTAGCCGGAGCCCAAGAGTGGAAGTGGCCAGTTTTCACTCTTGGGCGGCGTAAGATTGATCTTTTTCCTTCTTCTTCCCAAAACTGATCAAAAGTTGTCGGTCATTTTCTTTAAACAGCAATGATCTTATAAGCGATTGCATTTTACTTTTTGTGGCTCGATCACAAGAAGAAAACGTCGCCTGCGGATGTTATTCCAGAAAGCTCTCGTCATCTTTTCTCTTTATTTTTATGTGCACATTATTATCCAAAAAGTGAAAAGAGACCAAAAAGAATTTACTTACGAAACGGTTTCGTGCGTTTCATGTGAACCGTACGAATGCGCGCGCCATCTCGTACAGTAATGTTAGGCCGGTTTATTTCTATTATTTCAAAAGGTCCCTCGAACCGCTGCGATATTTTAGAGCCGACTTCTTTCGAATTAAACCGAGTCTCCAACATTATAGTCACATGGATTTGCTCTTTTTCTCGGGTCGTAATGATGTTTTCGAGCGATCTGAGAAGACTCCAGATTCTCCGTAACGTGTTTCCAGATGTTTCTGAGGATGGAAGTTAATTGCTCGCGGAGGATATACTGCTGGATCGATGTTCTGTGATAGGTAAACCTCCGGGTCCTGAGCCAATTTCGAAGGGTAATATTGAGGCGGTTGCGGAAAGTAACTGGGAGGATACGCAAAATAGCCCCCAGGTGTCAAAAAGGGTTTTTTTTAAATACCGCGTGCGCGAAAAGGATAGTCAGGCCGCGAGCTTCCTCTCGTGCTAAAGTTATAAGATGGACTAGGACGTCGCTGCCTTCTCCCTCGTCCCCGAAGAACGGGATTTTCACTACTAGATGTTTCGGGACCCGGTCTAAATGGTCGATTTTGCGCTAAGGACAAATTGTTAAGCTGTTCTTGCATCTTCTCAAGGTTATCGCTTACTATAAGGGAGTTCACGGCCCTCAAGGCGTCGAGCTCTTTGTAATTCTACAAAAGGGTAGTTCCAATTCGTAAACTTAATTAGTAATTCTTCGTAGACCCAAGATGACTGTACACTTAGCGACGTTCATAATGAAAGCGCTCGATGTTTTCATAATCACCTATCATGCTGTCAGCCATTTGCCTACTCGCATTATCTGTCCTTACATGAATTGAGAATTAGTTTGGATGTACGATTGAATGCGCTAATGCGTCTAATGGTTGGCGCACAATATGCAAATACACATTAGGCTCACTCTCTTCATACTGTTGCTTCCATATAAATAAAGTGCGGTTCATAATTATACGAACACCCAAAATTTTGTAAGTTTTCGGATTTTTTGGGAGAAACTCAAAAAGCCGTTGGTACCACGCGATAGAACGCAGCCGAAAACGGTATATGACCCATAAGAATGGAAAATGATGTCAATCTTAGGGATGTTTTTGAGTCTAATGCGAATTTTTAGCGGTTCATAATTATACGAACGCCTCAAACAAAGGTCCATTTTTCATTCAAGATGGCAATCATTTGAGTCCAAATTTTTTGTAGACTTACAGTAACAAAGTCTGACACATCTGCTATCTGAATCCGGTGCAGTTCTAAAAGAGGACCGTTACTTTTTTCGGAAGGCTCTAAATGCTTTTGGAGTGATTGCGCTCCAAAAACATCCGTTCTTCTGTGGTTTACACGCTCTAGTTAACTTCTACCAAAGCTATGAGATAAAATAAGCTCCTTTGATAGGTATTTTGTTTGACGCTTGGAAAATCTTTGCGTTTTCGTGCCGTTTTTTCAACTGATTTCCAACCTTACCACAAAGTTAGCACGATTTCGAGCCTCAAAACAGCTTCTGAAGCCGTACAATGAAGTAAGCATATAGTATGTAGAAGTTTACAATACTTTATATTTGGCTAGAAAAGATCAGCAGCGTTGAGCGTTTGTTTTGGTCACCAGACGTTACTTCACCAGAAATACTGTATTTACTATTGCAATCACACCTTTATTTGGTTTGTAGCTCCATAGCCGCAAGATCAGTTCTGGAAAAAACCCAAAAACCTTGCTACAGAAATATCATCATGCAAGCAATGCAGCTGCTTCATATCAAATGTTTGCGCAAGAGAGAAGCTGAGTTTTGAGGCTCGAAATCGTGCTAACTCTGTGCTAAGGTTGGAACTTGGTTGAAGAACGGCACGAAAACGCAAAGATTTTTCAAGCGTCAAACAAAGTACCTATCGAAAGAGCTTGTTTCATCTCATAGCTTTGGTAGAAGCTAATTAGAGTGCGCAAATGAACGGATGTTTCTGGGGCCCACTCACTCCAACATTTAGAGCCTTCTGAAAAAAGTAATGGTCCTCGTTTTGAACTGCACTGAGTTCAGTGTGTAGCAGATATGTCAGACTTTGTTACTTCAACTTTACAAAAGACTTGGACTTAAATAGTTGCAATCTTGAATGAAAAATGGACCTTTGTTTGAGGTGTTCGTTTAATTATGAACCGCTAAAAATTCGCATTAGGCGCAAAAACACTCCTAAGATTGACATCATTTCTCATTCTTATGGATCATATACCGTTTTCGGCTGTGTTCTATCGCGTGGTACCAACGGCTTTTTGAGTTTCTCCCAAAAAGTCCAAAAATTTACAAAATTTTGGGTGTTCGTATAATTATGAACCGCACTTTACATGCTAATGTTTGATGCTTTGCTTTTCGCTATTTTCCTTTGCACTGTGCTACCACTAATAAACCTCCGAAACCATCTTTGCTCGTCATCGAACCAATCACCGGAACCATCCAAATTCCGGACAAAACTGGCGACCCAAGGACAGTCAGAATAGTCGAACAGCCATTCACACCTTCATTTGTGCGGTTGCACCTTCCCACCAACAGGGTACGACCGAAAGTACCATTCCTGACTACGGGATCACCAATTCCTTCAAGGAATCCAACCTTTACACCGAAGCGTGTAACCAATCAATCTCCTGCACCGAAGCGTGTAACCAATCAATCTCCTTTGCACCGTAGCGTGTAACCAATCACTGTCCTTTGAAAGTCTTCCATCTGTACCGTAGTGTACAACCTTCCATTTTGAACATTCGCGGATCTTTCTCTGTTCCCGAACTCAACTCTACGTACATCAATCGTACGAATTCTCTGATTCTCTTCTGGAAAACATGTCCGATAGCGCACGCCTGCGGCCAGATAGGGTTTTTTAAGAAACAAATCCAGCGCTTCTGCTCTGACGTAGTTCAAGCCTTGAAAGACTACAATGTTTCCCTTCCTGCCCCACAATTCGAAGCCCTGAGCGACGACGAACTTGAAAGCTTCCGGCTAGAAGTTACCAGTATTCGTTCCAGTCTGCTAAAATCCTACACAAGGATCACCAAACTCGACGAAGAATGGACGACATTGCAAAAATCGAACTCCGACGAGCAACAGGTATTTAACGAGTATCTTGGGAAGTACGGTGACTACCGCTTAATCATCGTTGATGCCGTCAAAAATCTGGAAGATTTGGATTCTCTTTTGAATACCGTTGATCAAGAATATGCAAAGCGCCATTTAGCACTCTCCTCGGTTTCTTCCGAGCCTAACACACCTGATGAAGAGAGTGGTTGGAATAGAGAGAATAGGCCTTTGCTCCAAAATAGTTCACAGACCCCTATCATCCCTCGAACCGATCTTTCGCTCATGAATTTTGTTGATGCCTCAATACTCAGTAAACTAGACCTTTGATGGAAATCTGCTTGACTATCCTGAATTTTCGTCAAGGTTTGCGACCTTGGTAGGCAACAAATTACAACTCGATGACACAACAAAATTTTCACTCGTCAAATCTCGCTTGCGTGGAAAGGCTTTACATGTCATACAAGGTTTGTCGATGACCCCTGGAAACTATAGAATTGCCATGGATATCTTACTGATCTTACTGGACTCATTTCGACGACAAGGTCACTCTGAAACACATCCTGTATACAAAACTTGCCTCGTTACCAGCTTGTGACCCCAAAGGACGTCATCTCCTCTCTCTGTATAATCAAATATTTTCTCTCATACGACAATTCTCAAATGGAACTGATGATTCAAAGAAAAAGGCTCTGGGCGCCCTTCTCCTCAACAAACTTCCAGCGCGCGTGAGTCTACAACCAAACCCAACATGATCACAATGTTCCCCCAGTGGAATTGCTTCATCTACTTACTAACATCGTACGCAAAGAATCTACTCTTTCTGAAATGGAATTCTATTCGAAGTCGTTCTCAAATCCTCGTCTTCAACAAGGAAGCTACATCGCCGCAAAACAACCACAATCTCGACCAAGCTCTGCGAACGCGAAGCTACGGCAGCACTGCCCCTTTTGTGATTCCAGGAACCACACTGCTGCAAATTGCACAACTTACACCACTGCAAAACCACGCTCTGAACAAGCAAGAAAGAGACAGCTCTGCTACAACTGTCTTTCTACTCGCCATAATACTCGAGATTGTAAGTCAAAGTTTCGTTGCCGCGTATGCTCAAGAAAACACCACACTTCTCTCTGTACATCCGTCAAATCGACGCCACCCAACCTTCCGAAAGCCTTTACACGTCAAGACAATCACCATCCTCGTCATCCAACTCCTCCACCTGCTCGCAATCATGCTGACCACTTTGACGTTACTCATATGTCATGTAATGACAACCAGCCAATCTCAATAGACGAACTCGCCAACTCAAGTGCAACAGTGCCTGAGGAGAAAGGTAACAATAGTACCTTTACTACAACTGAAGCAACAAACCAACCAGCCCCACTGATGTGCACGGACGTGAAATTGTTCAATCCTGATGACCCTTCTTGTTGTGCTACCGCAACCGCTTTCCTTGATTGTGGATCTACAGCTACTTACATTACTGAGGAACTGGCAGCCCTTCTTAACTTACCAACTATCAAAAGAGAAGAACTTAGCGTTTCAACGTTTGCTGGCTCTAAGCCTATGTTGATGGAATGTTCGATCCACAAGATAGGTACTGTGACAGAAAACGGCACCAAATGTCTCACTGTGAAATCTACCTCTTCTTCCGCAAAGGATGTGATGCAAATCATTCCTGATGCCAATCTATCCGTGACTTTATGTAAACCATCTATACCGATTGGGAACGATTACTTTTGGGACCTTGTCCTTTCTCACAATTTCTACTACAAAAACCTATCTGAAGGGCATCGTCTTCTCCATACGACCATAGGAGACATCATTTTAAAGAAAGCTCTCGATACTAAATTTAAACACTGCAGTTTTGTCTCTATTGAAAACGATGACGTTGCCAATCCAGCAAACCATAACGAACTGTGCGAACTGGTAAGCCGATTCTGGAAACTTGAATCAGTTGGTATACTTGATAACCCGGACCAGCGCGACGATGACGAATGTCTCAAACTCTTCAACAATACTATATATTACGACTCCGACGAAAAGAGGTATGTTGTTACATTACCTTTTAAAGTTGATCCGGTAAAGGTCCCTGACAATTACACACTGGCTTACTCTCGTCTTCGCAATCAGTTGAAACAACTACAGCAAAATCCTTCCTACTTAGAAAGATATCATGCAGTAATCGAAGATCAATTACAAAGAGGAATAATCGAACGTGTGCCAGCCGAGGATGTTCACAAACCGTGTCACTACCTGTCCCATCATGGCGAATTGAAAAGGAATGACAAGGATCTCAAAATCAGGTGCGTCTATGATGGATCGGCAAAACTGAAAGGAAGCGTGAGTCTCAATGATACCCTGTACCGAGGGCCTGTACTGCTTCCTAATCTTGTTGGGATTCTCATCCGTAGCAGACTGTGTGAAATTCTTATTTCAAGTGCTATAGAGAAAGCATTCCTCATGGTTGACTTGAACCAAAGTTCACGGGATTACACCAAATTTTTGTGGTTGAAAAATCCCACAGGCTCACTGTGCCCACAAAACCTAATCACTTATCGCTTCACTCGTGTTCCATTTGGATTGGTTTGTTCCCCATTTCTACTCGCCGTCACCATACACTTCCACCTTTCCACCATGGCCACTACTATTTCGCAACATATCATCCGTAACACCTATGTTGACAATGTGTTCTATGGTGCAGAGAGCATAGGCGATGGAATCGCAATCTACAAAGAGTCAAAATCCTTGTTCCAAGAAGCTGGTATGAATCTTCGAGCATATGCCAGTAACTCAACAAAACTTAATGAGTACTTCGAACAAGAAGAGAAGGGAAACATAACCAAGATCCAAAAATTACTCGGTTTAGATTGGGACATTGTTAACGATCACATAATTGTACCATTTTCGAAGAGACCCGGGGTAGAAACAATCTGGACGAAAAGAAAGATCTTGAAACATATCGCTAGCATTTATGATCCCCTAGGATTATTCTCTCCTGCGGCATTACCTGGCAAATTGTTTCTTCAAACACTCTGGAAAGAAAAGCTTCTATGGGATGACACCCTATCTTCTGAAAAAACGGCACAGTGGGAAAAGATCTTGTCAGCCTGGAATGTAGCTGGAATCTCCACTCCTCGTCTCATAATAGACCATCAGAAAGGAGTGAACTGTGATTACGACATACACGTTTTTGCTGACGCATCTTCTGTCGCTTACTGCGCAGTGGCTTACCTGTACAAAGGGTAAAGAACAGCCCTGTGAGAGCCTCTTTGATAATGTCAAAAAGTCGACTAGCACTACTAAACCATTCCATGACGATCCCACGTTTGGAAATTGCTGCGCTGATGGTTGCATCTAAACTTCTCACATACCTGACAAAGGAACTTGATGTACCTATCTCTGAAAAATATACAGCCTAGTAGCGTTATACTGGACCAAGGACAACAAAGGTCTGCCAATCTTTGTCAAAAATCGGGTCAGTATAATTCTTGAAAACACTTCCGATGTCTCTATTCTACACTTCCTACCGAAATCAGTCCGGCAGACTTGGGCACTCGAGGCTGTCCGATTGAAGAACTTATGCGAGAAGATTCCTGGTGGAACGGACCAACATTTCTCCTAGAGGACCAAGAAAGTTGGCCGCAGAATGCCAAAGATGCTTTGCAAAAAGCATCACCAAATCTCAAACAGGACGAAAACGTTCTCCATAACCAATTTATGGTCTCGACCACATCTAAAGCAAACAAACAAAACAAAACTGTTCCCGAAAAACAAGTCAGTACCCTTCTAGATGTGAATCGCTTTAACTCTTGGACTCGACTGCTCAGAACAATGATGTTTGTGCTGAATTTTCTCACAAAGGAGTCCAAAAAAGCGGCAAAAATTTTTGGCACTACCAAAGTTGCGCTATTGCAAAGAAGCGAAACAGTACTGTTCCGATTAGCGCAACAGTGGTGCCCTCCTTCGGATGACTTCATAAAGCGATATCGACTCTTCACTTGCGAGAAGACTTCCCTATGGAAATCACAGGGAAGGATTGAACATGCGAACTTGCCCGTAGAGGCAATTACACCGATTCTACTTCCTCGTGAAAGTCGTATCACCATACTCTACATACTCCATGTTCACGAAACGTACAATCATTGTGGTGTAAACCACACTTTGATTATCTTGAGACAACGAGTATGGATACCTAAAGGCCGTGCCACCGTGAAAAGAGCTATTAACAATGAATGCTACCATTGCAAAAGACTTCATGCCAAACCGTTTGCTCTACCGCCATTCCCGGCACATCAACGAAGGGTAAATGCGCCTCAATATCCTTTCGAAAACGTTGGAATGGACTTTTTGGTCCCATGCCTTATCGGACTAGCGAAAATACTATTGGAAAGTACTGGATGTTACTTTTTACAGGTCTAAACTGCCGAGCGATTTGCGTAGATGTGATACTAGATATGACAACAACAACAGTACTTCATGTACTGAGGCGATTTATCGCCAGCGTCGGGTGCCCAAAATGGATCATCTGCGACAATGCACAAAGCTTCAAAACTGAAAATCAGTGCTACACTTATCTTCCTGCACCAAACATTGACGAAGACATCATCGACTACTGTGCCAGTAATCGAATACAGATGAAGTTCATACCCAGTCTAAGCCCATGGCAAGGAGGAATATATGGAAAAAATAATTGATATCTTTAAAAAATCGTACAGACATGCCATCACTAACCGTTTGCTAGACATCGAAGAAGTACGAACGGTGGCAAAGGAAGCCGAGGCCATTGTCAACACAAGGCCGCTTACATATTATAGCGATGAAATTTCCTACATGCCTCTTCGTCCTATCGATTTCATACGCCCATATGCTCGATTGTGTAGCACCTATCCCACCGAATATCAAGATCAGTGGCTACCATTTCAAACAACACGAGACACTTTACTTGCTGATTGGGATCGAACCTCCAAGCTAATCTCAACATTTTGGACAAGATGGAACATGGAATATCTTACCGCTATGCGCGAACAGTTCAAGAATGAGCATTCAGTTCCCAGATCACATGAAAAAGACACACCTAAGAGCGGAGACATCGTCTTGATCCATGATCCAACCCTTGAGCGTGGTCAGTGGAAAATGGGTAGAGTCATCGGATCACAAGATAACTATCAACGCTCTGCTCAGATAAAGCTTCCTTCAAACAGAATAATTACTCGTCCTAACTCTCTGATCCATAAACTAGAGATACCACAGAAGATGAACGAGCGAAACGTCGAAACTAACGGACCATCTTCCACCAAAAAACCTCCACAACCATCACGCCATCCAATGATTACCCGCTCTCGAGCTCAAGCACACGCTACTCTGACAACATTGTTTTGCCTGATGACAATTGGAACTGCGTCTACGGCTTCAATCAAGTGTCCAAGCGAACTCAACACACCTAAAACAATTCTGTACGCCACTAACTGCAAAGCCAGAGGAATCGCAGTTGCCAAACACAAAAATGCATTTTGTTATTACCCCATTTCCAGCCCTATGGGACATATTCGTTTCGAAATACTTTTCTCAAAGGTACCTTAGAGCAAATCTTCTCTCTGCGGAGAAAGTTGCAAATGCCCTCAGTGGGCGTCTTCTTGCTTTTTTCATAACGGATCAATCACCACCAAGTCAGAAATACGAAAAATACCTGCAAGTCTTCGCCACTATCGTCCAAACTTTGTTTGCTCATTTGAGCAGGACGAAAGGTGTGATTCAGTTAAAAAATTGGGAACGTTCAATCAGGTTCAACTATTCGACGACGCCTTGCTTTTGGTAGAAAACTTAACAATAACTCTCAAGGATTACGTCACTAAAGGAGACCTCCTATGCATCGATCGCAAGGGATAGAAGCGACTTCCTGGTAGCGACATCACCGGCACATCGTGGTTCTGTAAAAGACACAAATGCCAAGAACCAGCAAGCCTCTTTTGCATGTATGACAACCCGATAGCTCTGTTGCTTCTCAACAGTGCATCTGAAAAGAATGCAATCCCCATAAAAGCTTGGGGCCTCATCACAAAGGCCTACTATGGATTTCCCTCAAACCCATCAAAACTGTCCATAAAACATGGCACTACCAAATTTCTTGAAAACACTCGCACGAATGCGCTTGCCTCATGTTCTAAAGGAGGCATAACTTTATCTCAAGCAAATGAACAGGAAGTCATAGAAATCTGCATCGACCAGTACTGCATTTTCAGAAAAAATCTCGCTTCATCTCACATACCATTTCCCAATACATTTACGATGTACGATTACAAAGTCACCATAAGAGCATGGTCACGAGGAAAGCTTGTGGAAAACTTACAATTATTTTGCCCGGCACAGCCAGTCTGCGAAACTATGCAATGCATCCTCTGCTGGAAGCGACTGTACAACACTCAGTGTTGGACTTTTTTACAAATAACTCTGATTACACTACTCGTCTTGATCACTCCTCTATGGATTTACATAACGATCAGGATCGTGTGCCTTTTGCTTCGAATAACCAGAATCATTCTTTACCGTGTTTGCTTCGTGGATAGATTACTTGCCCTCTGTAGCAACCGGCAAAGAATACGCAAATACACTGATCGTAGGAAAAGATCTTACAAACGAAACATATTTTCGTGCCTTACCGTGTTGTGTCTGAAAATTTCACATGGACTCGGTTGCTCAGAGATCACTTCTATTACTGCTAGTGAAAATATCTGCTTCAAAGATGGAGAAAAGGAAACATGTACCTTTAACAAAGCCATTGTAGTCACTCTTCAGCCACTGCAACAAGAATCATGTCTTCTTCTCAAGGATCATCACAACAAGCCGATCGGACTCATATCAATCAAAGTCAACGGCATCGATTTCAATGTCAGAGAGACATTCAATTCTATACCAGAAATCACCAACTTGTTTCCGAATCCATCCATCGATGCTACTTAGCAGGAAGCTGCATCGAGAACGCATGTGAAAATACCTCACCTACGGCCAAGCTATCAGAGCTTTCTGAAACCGCAGCCCGAAGTCCTGGATACACCTTCTGCGCCGCGAGCTGCGGATGCATCTCCTGTGACGACTGTTTCATGTGCCAACTAAGCTGCTTGTTCTATCGAGTATATGCAAGACCAACAAGCTCTACTATTTACAAAGTGTTCAAGTGTCCCAGTTGGGAAATGACAGTGAACGCCGAGATAACTTTAAAGCAAGGTAACGGTATGTCTTCTACAGGTTACTATTTCGCCCAGGTCAGATCATCAAATGGAGGAACCTGAAGTTTAGTCTCATAAGCACCACAGTGCCGCAGTTACCAGTCCTTTCATCTACCTTTATGGAACGAAATGGAAAAGTATCGATTATTCAACCTGCCCACAAAGGACAGCTCAATCCTCGTGGAGCTGGACAACTTCAGTGCCCATCATACCGGAAAGCAAAGAAGTTCAATTGCGTTTCTCAGCCAAATCTTGTTCCTGCTCAGTCTCCCTTAAAAGAGCCACTTGTGTATGCAGCCCTGGCAACATGGAAAGACTAATGCGGAGTTCACCCCTCCCTCAACTATCAAAGCAATTTGCGATCTATTCAGAACAGGGCACACTACATGCAAAATCTGGAGTTGGATCAGCTCTGCAACTTCATGTTGTTGCTGAAAACCTAAAAA